AATACCCACCTCTGGGCTCTGTGCAGCTTGCCGGGAAAAACCTAGGGCACTGAAAGGTTTAGGATGGCAAAGGGAAAAGGACGGAAGGGAGGGAATCATGTGTGGTGGACAGGCTCCAGCGAGGGCTGCGGAGAGCTGATGCAGACAGGAAAGGAAAGCACAGGAAAAGGTGGGTTCTCCCAAGCCAGTGAACAAATATTACCTCAGAAGTTCACTGCAGCTGAAGAAACGCATGCACTGAAAGGGCTGCTGCATGCTTTAACCCATGAAGCAGCCACGCTCCTTTTGCAAAATTGTTGCTGCTTTGTTCAGAGGAGCTGGTTCTGAGTCATTTTAATCAGTTGCTGTCTCAGATTTATTGGAGTAAACGGAATACAAGTACTAAATTCAGTACAGAGCGAGAGGAGAGAGATGCTGAAGCTCTTGGCTTCAACATACAAACAATAAAACCACAGAGTTCATCCACAGAGGGAGAAGACAAAACCCAACTCAGTTACTATGATGTGTTTTTTAAATTGTTTTAAGATTCAGAGCTAGAAATGTCTAACTTGACCCTTCTGGGATCAAATAAAAAAATCCACAATTGATTGCCTGAATTCCCTCCAGAAAGCAAAACCCTAGGGAACCCTCAGGGCACACTGGGAGCAAACACAGCAGCAGGCAGAAAGCTAACCCCTGTGGGCAGGGGAGTTCAGGGCCTTACTATTTTTTTTTAATAATTCTTTCACACCCTAGGCCTGAACACTGGAGCTCAGTTCAACAATTCAGCTGTTCGGACAGTCCCCGGTACTCCCCTGGCATGGGACAACCTGCCTTCTCCTAAACCATCCTAATCACAGCCCAGGAGGCAGCACAGGCCAGCAGGCATTCTGGACATAGCAAACCGAATTTGGAGGACAGGGGAATGTAATGGTATAAACATGGCCATTCAGCCCCAGCCAACACACAGCTGAGCTAACACGCATTGATGCTGCTCCGGATTCCTGCTTCACACAGCTCTCTTCATGTGAATCTCTCAAACCACTGGCAAATTACCCCTTTTTCCACTGCAGAATTTTCAGCAGTATCATCAAGGATATCCTAGCTGTGGGTGAATAGCTCCTCCATCTTGTGGCTGTCTTCCATGCCTTTCCCTTAAGAGGATTAGCCTCTTTAAGATCTACTATTCTTGCTTCTTTCATTCCTGAAGGCATTCAGTTGAAGAAACCTCTGCAATTGTGACTAGCCACACAGTACTATTTTGCAATTTATGAGGAAAATCCTTTAAAAGACAGCAGTGTTAAAAGATACTGCACCTCTAAAAACCCAGGTACATTGTCAAAGCACCATCATAGCCTACTAAGCACTTAAAAATATCTATCTGCAAATGTTGAGATAGATGGATTTAGAGAAGAGTGACAAAGAGTGGCATTGCACTCACTTTAAGGAGAACAATACACAAAAGTAAGTCAATATACCTAATATTGTCCCTATGTGTGGAGTAAAATACATATCTGATTTCCCATTTATAAAGGAATTAAAACATTTCACCAAATGGATATTCTAATGATCGTAGCTTACCATAAAAAAAAAAAAAAAAAAGATAAATAAAAGAGATGCTAACTTTAAAAAATATAGTTTGGCTATGAGAGCCTTGTGACTTACAAGTCACTGTACAGTAAGAGTGCCAAGAAAAATGAAACAGAGACAGAAATGTGCCACTGCTACAAAAGTGAGTACACTAATACTCATTCCCTGCTGCACAGATGACATTAAAGGACCACCTTACTCAATGTTAGGAGAGTTTGTTCTTACAAGACCTATATATTCTGTCCAAAGCTGAAAAGATTTCTGAAAATATCCAGGAAAACTTGCAGAATAACTGGTGACAATACACTGGTACTGGAACAATACTCCAAACTCTCAATAATGTCAGTGGATGAAGAGGAGAAAGCACACCCCTACAGAACATATTTCAAATGAATTTCAACACTGCACCCCACAAATGTAACCTAATTTTGAGCACCTTATTATTTATGGGGAAAAAAAAAAAAGGAGGAGGGGTGTTAAGACCTGGAAACTTAATCAGAAATACGTATTACAGTTTTTGAAATGTCCCTGATTTGGACAAGAAAAAACGCAGTCTTTCTGTGGTTAAGAATCCCAGAGATGGCCCAAGATCACCCTGCCAACACAGAAAGCAAGCTTTTAGGCAGGAGAATCATACAGCAGAGAAACACAAAGTTTCTAGACCATCGTTTATACCCACAAAAGCTGAAGAGCAGAATTGGCAAGTGAGTGGCCCACGAGACATGAAAGACCAGCTCAGACACAGCCTTGAATGGGAGGCAGAGAAATGAGCACAACTGGGATGTCTCCTCCAGGCAAAAGGAACCAGACCATTACGAGCTTCCACCTGGATGATCACCAGCAACAGAAAACAAGAAAAAAAGACCCTAGTTAAGCATTTTACCCCCAAGGCCAGTATATTTATCTGGATATCTGGTGGCTCAGCAGCATAGAGCAGTGCTGGGCCAAATCCAAGTCACAGCCTTCTGGCCCAGGAGGAAAAGTTGTTACCAAATGAAGCATGCTGACAACATATGGACGCCTGTGCTACTGGAGCAGTTTCATCCCCATCCAGAGAGAAAAAACCCTGTAAGATTATGCCAAACACATGATTCAATTTAGGCCAGAGCTCTGCTGCTCAAAGCACCCTGGCCACTGACACTGCCTGAAATGGACTGGCTTGTTTCAGTGCTGACTTTACATCTTTTCAAAGGTTTTTCACAGGGAAAAGATCATGGATTTTTTTTTTTTTAACCTGAATCCACTAGGCATTAGGGAGCAGTTTACTACTCAACATATTTATCCAGTCTCCATCGCCTCCTTTTTTATTCATTCCCATCCCAAAGTAACTTCAAGCACATCTGAAGCACTAAAGCTGCGAGGCCTGCAAACCCCCTCTTTAAAGCAGGTCAGCATCTAACGTTTTAATGGGTGCAGACCTAATATGGTTGCCCAAGAAATGCCATCCGCTGACGGCTAAGCTCCTGCCTTCGGCCTCTGACCCAGACACCTATTCCCAGATGGTATAAAGCTAGGACACAATGCTTATGTCCGATCTGATCTCCATCGGTGTGAATTTAAAATATCTTCCATGGAAGAAGGGTGAGTTACAGGAGAATAGAAGCGATGTAAAATCAGATTCAGGATTCTCATTTCCACTTTCATGTTTCTGCCTCGACACCGTAAATGTGAGATTTACAAAAATAACAATAAATACATGTGGAGATTTTTTTTTTTTTTTATAGATAGCCAAGCACTGGTTTAGAGTGAAAAACATCTGGCTGCAGAACATGTCATACTGCAGCTCTGTACCAGTAAAGACCATACTTCTTATATAAACGAAGTTACTCTGATTCAGTAAGAATTCCGTTCTCGAGAGGAATGGAAACAATAAACTAAATGAGGATTAAATACCAGATCTTGTCATGCTTCAGTGCATTAAAAGACCAACGTAATCAAGACTTTCAAATGCTATGTCAAACTGTGCAGAGGAGAAAAACAAACTTCTTGTTTGTTTTGGCACAGCTATTTCTTTACAGCTTCTACTTGTTGTAAGTCAGGAAATAAAACATTGCATTTGCTAACCCAATAGATCATTTTCCTACCCAAAAAAGGACAGCTTCATTTGTATCCTTACCAACTAAGAACAATTTTGTGGGAAGTACTGCTGTATCTAAATTCTCATTGTAAATAGTTATTTAACTTCTTTAAACTCTTCTTCAGCAAAAAAATAATTTCGATGATGAGTAATTAAGCACATGCTTTGTCAAAAGAATAATATTTAAAGTTTTGTGGTGATATGTAAAGGATTAAATATTTCAAGTAAAAAGGACAGTATCTGGACATCAACAATTGTATCTGATTATAATAGCAGGAGCAAAGTCCAAACGGTGCTTCCAGAATTAATCATTGTAGTTGACCCAACTTAGTGTGGGAGACTCCAGCTCAGAGCCTGGAATGAATGATCCCCTTGGAAATGATTCAAGGTAATTGGGAAACACCAAGAGAGGGCTCTGGCCTGTTACTATCAGTTCCTGTCTATTGCTATGAAGAAGCATTTTGAAAGCACTGTCTGGGTCCAGGACAAAGAACATTCAGTAGTGGCTGGTGACTGTGGGTGGCTGAAACAATTCAGTTGAGTCAGTCGTGCTTACTGAAGATCAAGAACAGCTAAGCCTTTTCTACTTGGGCATCCAAAAGCTTGAGACAGCCTAAAAAAAAGTAGTCACTACACATGATCCTAGCCACTGAGAAACTAGATTTGCTTCCAGGCTTCAGTAGTTAAAATGTTTTGGAGAATTACATGAGAAATTCCATCTTGAAGAGAAGAAAGTAACTGGCTGAACATTATGGGACAGGTAAGCAAACCCAGATACCAACAACAGCAAGCTTCGATTCAGTTACTGTTTCTCAAGCTGTTAATGCTTATGCCTTAGCGGCATTTAGCGTGTGACACCTTCAGATAAGGGAAAAAAGAAAGAAAAGTCCATTTGTGAACATCGTGATTGAAATGTTGGCTGTTTTGGTCTTTACACTGCTATAACCTTACCTTCTTGTAGACACAAGTGAGCTCAAAAGCAGTTCCAGACCTGTAAACACCAGCGTACTGCAGAACGGCACAACCAATGGACCTTGGTGGCTTTATGTTTTGTGGTGGGACCCTGTAGTGTCCAGTAAAGTGCCTACTGTAGCCGAGACTGTTATCAAGACATGGATGATGTCCCTCTGTCACTTGGATTTCCTGAGGAACGCACTAAAGTGGCACTACAAAGTCTTTCCTCTACAGAGGCACCTCCTTAATGAATCACAGAGGCCTCTCCTCCTCTGTGAAACTCAGCTGAAAGTGACTGACATTGTAAGACGTTGGGATGAATGGACAGTGACACAGAACAGCCTTATTTGTTTAGAAAACTAGGTTAAAAACTAAATAACAAAGGCACTATCAGCCATACCTGATTATACCAAGAGGGTCTAAATCTTCTTCCTCCTCTTCTTCTTTTTTTTCCCCTTTTTTGGCATTTTCCACTAATGAAAGCTGTGAGATTAAGTCAGGCGTCTTCTCCTCTTCAAAAAAATCCAACGCCTCATTTTCTTCATCTTCTTTCTCCTTGTTATCAGGAATGTTTTTACCCTTGAAGTCAATGGCACTAGTAGATTTTGTTCCTGCAAAATACAGTAACAGATGCAAAACTGATTACACAGGATAACAACCATTTTTTATGATGGCTCGCTTTGGCGAATGAAGGACATGATCAGCTTTTGTGAAACTCTTTCCACATGTATATGGATCGGAGCAATCCCAAGCACAGATACAGGCTGAGCGGAGAATGGGTTGAGAGCAGCCCTGAGGAGAAGGACTTGGGGGTGCTGGTTGACAAGAAGCTCAACATGACCCAGCAATGCGCATTTGCAGCCCAGAAAGCCAACCATACCCTGGGCTGCATCAAGGGAAGTACGACCAGCAGGTTGAGGGAGGTGATTCTCCCCCTCGACTCTGCTCTGGTGAGACCCCACCTCCAGTGCTGTGTTCAGCTTCGGGAGCTCAATACAAGAAGGACATGGACCTGTTGGAGAGAGTCTAGAGGAGGGCCACAAAGATGATCAGGGGGCTGGAGCACCTCCCCTATGAAGACAGGCTGAGAGAGTTGGGGTTGTTCAGCCTGGAGAAGAGAAGGCTCCAGGGAGACCTTATAGTGGCCTTCCAGTGCTTAAAGGGGGCTACAGGAAAGGTGGGGAGGGACATTTTACAAGGGCATGTAGTGATAGGACAAAGGGTAATGGTTTTAAACTGAAAAAGGGTGGATTTAGATTAGATGTAAGGAAGAGATTCTTTATGACGAGGGTGGTGAGGGACTGGAACAGATTGCCCAGAGAAGCTGTGGCTGCCCCCTCCCTGGCAGTGTCCAAGGTTGGATGGGGATTTGAGCAACCTGGTCTAGTGGGAGGTGTCCCAGCCCATGGCAGGGGGTTGGAACTGGATGATCTTTAAGGTCCTTTCCAACCCAAACCATTCTATGATTCTGTGATTCCTGATGTCCCTTCTATCCACTGATGTGACATTATGTGTCTGATCTGTTTACCAATTTAAAGTAGTTAAGTAGAGAAAGACAGAGGAAATGAACTTTATCTGAGACATAGCGTGTCATGTTTAATCTGCTTATTTATGTTCCTTCTATTATCAACATAAACAACAGAATTTCCATGTGGTTATTCATCCACCCAAAGAAAGTTGTCTGAGAAGTCTCCCTCTGAAGTGCCTATTTCTCTCCACTGACTACAGACAGGCCATAAATACTCTGCTTAGATGTAGGCAGCTAACTTTGACATAGCTAACTTTGACATAGCTAGTGGAGATAAAGTCCACTTTTTATTACTAATTTAATTCATTTGGGATAAAACTAAAGCCCTGCTCAGCATTAAGAAGTTTCCACAGCAGCTCTTCAATTTACACTCAAAAATGAAGCCTGAAGTTCTAACTCCCTTCAGTATGCAAGATCCATCCAACTGAGCAAATTCAGCAAACTGAAGCAAACACTTTGACCAAGTCTTTTCACCATACTTGTTATATGCAAAACCCAGGAGAATGAGAACTATTCCTTGCTGTTGAGTCTCTGAATGTTCAGGAAAGCAATTTAATGAGACTAGCTAAAAATAGACTAGTGAGAACCATGACAGACAAAATTCATAGTTTCATCCTTTTGACTGTTAAAGTAACATGGCATGGAAGACTCATCTCACCCAGCTTTTCATGCTTGCATCTGCCAAATCACCCAGGGCAGACTTCATTGACTAAATGTGGGTGTCTACGCTGAGCAAGTTGTCTTATGCTCCCCTTATAGGCAAGAGAGCGCTGGTCAGGGTAGGCAGTGAATGTCAGGATGCTGCGTATCTTATCCCCACAGTCATCTGTGTCTTACCATGTCGATTCTCCCTAAACACCCCTGAATACAGCAATCACATCTCCAGCATCTGTAAGGAAAGTGTACACAACTAGTTTGAAGATCTGCAGTGTATGTGCTGAATTCCACCCGGTTTGGAAGGGTGAGACTTATACTATTCTAAGGCAGATTTCAATGAACAGGTCACAATACTTCCACCCAGTCTGTCCACAGCATAAAGACAGTCCAGACTAACTCAGCTATAGACATGTGCACCACAGTTAGGTTAACAGTATGCAAAGGTTAATAAATATGAACTCTGAATTCTCTGTGCAAGGGGTCTACTTTCAAGAGAATGCTGCCAGGGAAAAAAGAAAAACCAAACCACTCCAAAACATTATTAGCAAAAGGATTTTGCCAAATATTGTGCCATTTTGCCCCTCCTTGACTTTAGGAAACTGCCAGTCTCACAGAACTTCTAATCTGGCCACACTTGACACTTTTGCAAAATCGGCTGTTCACACACGGTGACTTGCTAGCATCTTGCAACTTCACTTCCTTAAAACTAATGCTGCACTGAGAAACCTGTACAGCACCAGGCTGGAGTATTCCCTGCTCAGCAGCTCTCAGCTGAATTAAAAGCAGAGAGCCCATCTGTTCCATTCATTCAGTGACTCCCTGCTATGCCCAAGGAACATAAGAAAGGCACTATATGAATCACTGGAAGAGGCAACAAAAGCTGGACATAAGGCTAAAGAAAAAAATTTTTAAAAAAAAAAAAAAAAAAAGAGTGGCCAGAGAATGGGTTTAACTAATAAAGAATCTGTCTTTTATTCAAATCTTTGTCAGGGTCAATAATTTGCTTTAGGACCCTCTTCAGCAAGGCCTAACAATTTTATTAGGAACGAAAACCAGACAAAACTCGGAACAGTTGATCATTAAGGGAGACGGTGTACTGTCCCTTCAGGGTCCCTCTCTCCACTGACAGTATTTAGCCTTCTAAACTTATGTGTTCTGAATCACAGCTTAGGTATATGCCTAAGGGAAATCATAGACGGTGGGATAGATACCTTCAAAGCAAGCAATGTGGTATTAACATTCTGAATGAGGCATGTGTCCACTGAGAGGAGGGGAAAACACTAGCAAACATGACTATGCAGCACTGTAGATGCACAGAAGGATATTTTCAGTGACAACCATTGTTCTGGCATTCTCTAGTTTTGGACTACTTGAGTCAAAAACAAGCACATTCATGGCAGAGAGGACACTCACTTCTTTTAGTTACCTAAAAATTCCAGTAACTCAGGACTTGTTGCTAGATCCTCATCTTTTGAGATGAATTTCATGATATCATTGAACATAGCTCTTCGTTCACAGATGTCAGATTCCCCCACGAAGAGAACCTTTCTAGGCAAGAGCGGAAGAGAAGCCTGTGGGTATCGTGTCGCCAGTCTCTGGTAGAGCTCCTCTATCTCGCTGTACTTCTTGGAAACCTGCAACGAAACATGCTGCCTGGGTAAGGTTTTTTACAGGAGGGACACAGGCAGCAAAGCAGCATTTTAAGCGCTGTGAAACATTAACCCCAGAAACTGCAGTGGAAAAACATGTATTACCAAGGAGCTTTACATATAGCCTAGTAAAAGCCTTTTACCTACACAGTGAATCCCCAAGCATTGTTGCTGGTCTTCCAATTCTGTTATCAAATTCACTCCCTAATGGAACTGAAGTTCATTGCCAAATACCCAGTGTCCATTTCTCTGACTCACCACTAAAGAAATACTGGGAAGGTCACTGCTCCAGATACTTTTCTCTGACAGCAAAAATCCTTGTCCACTAAAACTAAGCTGTACGATGCCCAGCCCTGAGAGACGGGAGGGAAGAGAAGCCCAGCCAGGTAGGCACCTGATGGAGAAAGCAGTCCCAATCTTTTCATCATTTCTCAGCCCTGGTGGGCTCCACTGCCCTTCTGGCTGTTAAAGTCTAAAAACCTGGCACATTTGCTGCCCTGCAGAGCACCTAATACAGAAACCGGAGGGCAAAGACCTCAGCTGACCCCTGACTACTCAGTTTATCCATGAGAAAATAAACCCCACAACTTGGCCACGGCCTACAGGTTCTCATACAGGGAGAAGATGCCAACAGTGAACGGAGTCATTCCTTCTGCAGACAAAGACAGGAAGCCTGGGGAGAAATAAAGCCCAAGATATTACAAGAAAAGCAATAACCACAGGAATGCTGATTAGAAATGGTGTGGCTTCTATGCCACATTAAGTTTCGAATTCAGTACCTTAAAAAAAATCAATACACAAAACCCACATACAAACAAAACACTATCTCTAAGTGATGTTACAGGCACCACAGAGAGTGACTGTCATGCTCTGCGACCGTGGTATTACATAGAAAATACATTCAGCACGGCCCTCCATGGCCCCATAATCTATGAATGTGTTTCAATGAATACAGAGTTAGACTAAAATGAACAATCCAAAAAACTAGTGCTAGTGGAGCGCATAAGGTACAGATCTTCTACTAGGGTCCAGCTCTTGTTCTCCTTTAACACATGCTGGTTTCACTCTAGTGGAGTGAATCTTAATACTGCGACATAAAAGATGGAGATACTCATGTGCCACATCTTGGGATGGAAGAAGGCACGAGTTCTTCCACCAACACAGTGATAAAAGTAAGTCAACTCAACAAAAAACACAGAAATAGAAGGGGAATGAGTTACAGATTAACACAGAATCCATAAACTGCATCTATACTAGCAAACTAAACCGTATCAGGCATATTCCCAGGCACAGGAACCTGACAGTGTCTATCAGGAACCTTATAGTGCCTACTGGGACCCAACAATGTCTGGCACAGTTTTGACTCTGGGCAGCTAGCACTCCCCCAGGTGATTTTTCAGCCCAAGATTTAGCCTGGTGCAGAGACCCCGTAGTAACCAGTTTGGGAACCAATGCCCACTGCAGATGGTAAGAAAGTTTCATGCAGCCAGTCTGTGCCAGTTGCCTTCCAGGCCAAAGAACAGGTCCTGACATTAACAGACACACCTCGACTAGTTTACTAAATTAGACGTAGGCATAAAGAGCAATAATCACCTTAGCTTTCATGCTTCCCTGCCTTTTGCAGTAATTATCAACCAAGCCTGCTGATTGGAAAAATATTTGCATTTCAGCTGTACAATGTTCAGTATGTGTTCAGTGTCCAGTCACAAAAGGCAAGCAGCCCTGTAAGAAAGATCTGAAGCACAAAACCAAACCTGAGTTGAGAGGGCAATAAAACCCAAGCATTTTAGACTTGTCGCCTGTGAGCAACACAGGTAAGTGTGTTCAACACTGTGCTCTGTATGCGAGACCTGACATGCAATTCAGCAGCCAAGGATTACAGTGATGGCAATAAAGAGATGTTCTCAGAATAAGACAATCCTCCCTTTGAAAGATACCCCAAAGAAGAGAGAGGAAAGCAATTCTGGAATTTCTGAATTGCTGTACATTTCTAGTTTGCTAGGTCCCAGTAGCACTCTGAACAGAGTATGATACCAGATCCTCTCCCAAAAATACTGTGTAAGCACAAATGTAAGGGCAGTCAGGAATTCACTGGTACTTTTTCAAAAGAATAAACAATATTACCTTCCACCCAGAAAAAAAAAATCAAGCCTGATTTGTGAAAAATGTTTAGCATCTAATTAACTTCAATACTAAACAACAAATTAATGTCTGAAAGCACTACAAGACATCAGCCAATCAACAAGACTACGTCAAAACCGCTTTAAAATACTCAAAGTAACACTGAACTGAGACATACAAACTTGTTTCTTTCCTCACTTAATTTTCATTCCTCCTCTATAAAACTTTGTAAATTATTCATAAATCTCAATTTATGTCTAATTACACCATTGAACGTAAAGTAAATGCACGCCCTCGCATCCTATCGCTAATTGAGCCTTTGTGAATCTGCGTGGGCTTTGAACACCACCACCAACCATAACACGCGACACAGCATACGAAGTGCGATACCACTATATCCAAAGCATACTAATATGCTACCCAAAAGCCTGCAGCAGACCAGGCAAGCTAACATCCAACAGTGTGGGGATGCCCTCTGCTGGGATAACCTACCACACAGGGAAGATGTTAAACCTCCAGCCTAAACCATTGCTCACTTCCCTAAGCCCAGTGCTGGCCCCTGCAAACCCCTGCCAGCTGAGGCTCTTTGCCTGCTGTCCCTCTGCCTCAAACCCTGGCTGCCGCTGGCTCCTCTACGTCTTTGCTCAGCACTACTGCCATCTTTACCTTGGCTCGGTGCTGGAAATGTTGCAGTAGGACTGCTTGAAGGCAACAACCTCAGGCTGATGCGTTTAGAATCACAGGATCATAGAATGGTTTGGGTTGGAAGGGACCTTTAAAGATCCAAGCCCCCTGCCATGGGCAGGGACACCTCCCACTAGACCAGGTTGCTCCAAGCCCCATCCAGCCTGGCCTTGGACACTGCCAGGGAGGGGGCAGCCACAGCTTCTCTGGGCAGCCTGTTCTGGTGTTTCACCACCCTCATAGTGAAGAATTTCTTTCTTATGTCTAATCTAAATCTAATTTACCTTCTTTCAGTCTGAAACTGTTACCCCTCGTCCTACCCCTCTACTCCCTGACAAAGAGTCCCTCCCCACCTTTCCTGTAGCCCCCTTTAAGTACTGGAAGGCCACTAGAAGGTCTCCCCGGAGCCTTCTCCAGGCTGAACAACCTCAACTCTCTCAGCCTGTCCTCAAAGGAGAGGTGTTCCAGCCCCTCTTCTGCACTCCAACAAGGCCATGTCTTTCTTGTGCTAGGGACCCCAGAGCTGGATGCAGCAGCACAGAGGCAACGCAGAGGCCTTACAAAGGGCCAGTCAAGTCTTACAGAGTGTATTTTCTCAGTTTGAGTCCCACGCATCACTCAAAGCATTCTCACACCTTTCCAGTCAGGAAGCACTGCTCTGGACCCTTTCAATTTGATGTCCCCTGACAATTTTCCAGGACAAAGGCTTATCAGCATGTAACAAAATTAAATTTTGCTTTTCCTGGTTAGCATTCACAACCCTTTGAAATGAAGCCTATAGCCCAAAATGTCAGAATAAAAAAGAAATGCTGCTCTAAACCCCATTTCAATCAATCCTATTAAGTAAACAAAGTCCCATTTGATTAATATTCAAATATTTTCCTTCTGCTGCCTGTAATACTTCTAGGTCTTGATCCTGCAATTATCCTCACCCCCTCCATGCTTCTAATTGAACTCTGTGAATACTGTGGAGCTAAACCCCCACCACCTGTAAGTCAGCCTGAGTGCACGCACTTCAAGGAGTTCTGTCAAGTCACAATATCAAAGACTCGATCTACTTCACTTCAAAAGAGTTAATCATGCAAATATGGCAAAGCATGTGCATATTTGCCAGGTCAAGACCCTATTTGCCTGTAACAATTAACATCCAACACAGAAAAGAGAGACAGGGATGGGTTGAATATTTTTTGCACCAGGAACAAATAAGTAAGTTGAGTATGATCAAATATAGCTAGAAGGTTAAGAAAACCACCAGGAAGTTCAAAGTGAAAGCCTGAAGTTTGCTGCTAATCCCTCCAATCTCATGCATGTGCCTTGCCCCCTTCTTCACGAGAACCTCATGCATGAAAGTACACACACTAGAATGCCTGTAGGATATGAGCCTGGGACTCTCAGATGTGTGTAGGAGGATTTGATCCCACTCAGTATTAATGGGATTTAATGCCTCCTTTCCCTTTAATGCTCCTTCTAATGTCCCATTTCTGACCTCAAACTTGTCTTCATATGTTTTATATCTACTGCAAGGATTTCAATGAAATGGAGATTTCAGAGCTAACTCAAGCCCTTTGGCCAGCACATGCACTCTAGCCAAGAGCACTCTCGACTTTACAGTATTTCATGAAAAAGATATGGCTACTGTGACTTTCTTTTTACAAAGACCACTTCATAACACTGTCAGAAAACAGAGATCCAGCAGCATTGTCCTATTAGACAACCACTGGCTTTGGATACAGGAATCAAAAGCATCCCCTCTCGCAGACAGCACAAACCAAACTTTCACTTCTACACTCCCAATTCAAGCCATACCAGAATTAATGTTGCTTGGTGACCTCATGGGTATGCATTACGGTAGATTTTAATTAAATGACCACACGCTGTTCTCCCCATCTGTTTTGCCCAGCGGAAGAGCAAGCAGTCTAATACTTCTTTTTAATCAACACGAATTCTTAACGGCTCCTGAACCTATTGCTACACTGAGCAGGGATATTTTTTTTCCCCTCTCACATCACAGAGGTTATAATGCGAAGGAATTTATCTTCACAACACACCTGTATGGTCAGGAAACAGCAACTCCAACACAGATTTTGAGGCCCACAGGAAGAAGGCCAACATATGCAAACAGGCAACGATGAAAACATTGATGAATACACACACACCCACGTACTTAGACGCCCTCATTTTATGAGAGGAAGACAGTTCTATAGTAAATTCCTCCCAAAAATGTGCTGTGCCTGTCAAACACCAGTAGTTATTTGTTCAGCTTTGAAAAAGAAAGACCTCCAACAACAAATGTACCTTGTAAAAAAGAAGCAATTAAACTGGGCATAGAAAGAAAGAGAAGGCTCTGTAAGATGGGTGGATTTTCAGTAAGGCTGGGAAGAGAGAAGTTAATTGCTAAAAAACGTAAGGCGTGGCTAGAAGAAATGCATTTAAGAACAACAAAGTAATTTTTTCTTCCCACAGAAAATGGCAGATCTACAGGCAATAATTACCTATCACCTTTGCAGCCATACCTCTGATGCCAAAGACAAAACCAATTTCACTCTTTCAATAGGGCAAGAGTATTCTGACCTTTGAAAGAAATGCAGCTGACTTTTCCTTCAGTTACCAACTATAAGCTCAGGGTTAGGCAGCTGTACAACCCATTTGGCCTGTTTTACAAATGGCTTTTTTAAATGAAAAAATCCCTCCAGTTTCTAAGAATTTAGGTCTGAAAGTCATCACAGAAGTGAATGCCTCACAAATGTTTCAATGATAAAAGCTACAATAGTGATTTTGCATAGTCCCATTAAGGCTGGGGAACAGGGAACTCTGGATAGCTTTGACCCACATTAATGGCTAGTAACTTCACAGGTCAGATCCGAAATCTCTTTTTGATGTTCATCTGGTTTTGGTCATAGGCCCTTAACATATCTCGATCCAGTGTGGGCTAAACTGCAGCCCAGAGATCACAGTTAGCTTGTGGTTGCTTCTGTCCTGCTCAACATCTTTTTCCAGGGGATACAGAGAAGCTATTTGAGCAACAAATGCTGCTCGATGGCATCACTGCGTGCAGTTCCTCACAGCCTGCCGCACAGAAAGCCAGCTTCTCTGCTGCCACCTAGGGCATGAGAGTGTGGAGGGCAGTCACTTCAACTGGAAGCAGCTGGAAAAACTGCTAGACAAGGGACATCAATTTAGCTAGTATTTCAGGGAGAGAAAAGGGGAAGGAGGAGGAAGAAAAAAGAAAGACAAAGGGTCTCAAAACATGGACCTGGCTCCGGAGGTAGCCAAAACTGGATTAATGTATCCAGAGTCAATGGAAATCCTACCAGGCCTACCCATCTCCTCTAACCTACCTGTCATCTCAGCACTGTGACAGTGGCTTCTTCCTCCAGCCTCTCAAATTTGATAATTTCAACAACAGCAAAAAACCTCGTTCCCTCTCCTATCCTGCTGCCATACTTGGGAAGGCAGAACAGGCACACGGTTGTTTCTTTTTCCTCCTTCAGAGGTCTCACCTCACTCTGCCTTGTGATACAAATTCGATCTGTTACATCTGCTGCCCAACTTAACTTCATTCTTCTCTGCTGCTCCCCAGCCACCTGCTTCTCCTACCCTTCACCTCCAAACCCCCCGGGGAAGGGTCGCGGTTCTTGTTTGTGCTGGTACAACATCCAGCAGCATGGGGCGCTACACGGACACCACGGTGAAACTCACCTCACCTGACAGCCACAGGGCTGGGACTTGCCTCCCGGTTAAGACAACAATCTACATGCAGGAGGCGCCTCAGCTCTCAGGACAGTCAGATGTAGTCACTACACTTCGGCAAGACGTGACCGACACTCAACTCATTCGAACACATTTTGTGGTAGCTTGGATGGGGCACTGTGCCTCACCTCATGCTGTTCCAGGGCAGTGCCAACGCCTTTAGGGCCTCTGTCACATCTGACAGCCCTGTGCAGACACCTAGGTTATCCTTAGGGGTTCTCAAACGGTACCAGCCACATACGCTATGCAAAGTGGATTCCCCCACACCGTAGATGCTCAGCTACATCCTTCTCAACAGTACTGCACTGACTGGGATGGGAGCTTAGGAATCCGCAGGAAATACAGACATCTAATCACAGAAAGCAAATCGTTCTGCCTAAAGACAGGCATCTCGTGCCATCTGAGACGCTTTGGGGTATTCAAGGGGCTTGTGTGGGGCAGGCAGACATCACACAGGACCTATGGGAGACCCAAAACCTTCTGAAGGCCCGGTGGAAAATCCCAGGGCACCTCTGTGGTATAGACAGTGAGTTGTGTGCAACTCAATTGAGCCTTAAGCATTTTAGCCTGGAGTTGAAGCCCCTTGCCCCAGCTGTCTAAAATGCAGAATGCTTTCCCTTTAGGGTCAAAGAAGAGAGGTGTTTCCAGAGGATGAGTCACCTTATTCCCCTTCTCCCCGTTGACCATAAAAGCAGGGACAGACTCAGATTAAAATATCCAACTTACAGAGAGAGAAGTTAGGACAGGTGAATCCCTCTGTTCCTGCCAGTAATACATACAGAAAAGACTCACTGGAATGAATTGATGCAAAGCATCCAACCTCTCAGCTCACAGTTTTAAATTACTCTCACACACCAAACTATATAATGTAACAGACTTAGTCAGCTGAAAAAAATGTATCTGATGAGATAAATGTTATTCCTGTCAGACTACGCCAATTTTCTTCTTCATGAAGAATGAAATGTCAGGAGGTCTGACCAGAGAAGAAATCAGAAAGGTTCACTTCACTCGAGAAGAGCAACTAAGTGCTGAAAATCTTCCTAGAAAGAGCAGACATGGCAACAGACAATCTCAGCAAGCAGGGGGGCCACAGTAAGAAGTCTGTTTCTCCTCTTTATAGACAAGCTGATTTTATCTACTTATTCTTAAGTGAAGCAAAATGTTAGATGACAATAGCCCAGTTTAACAGCTCAGGTTTAGTCAGGTTCTTTATTTCACAGAGCTGCATGGAAATATTACATAATACAAGCAGGCATTGCTGCAGAAAAAAAGCGATTCTACATCCCCTTCTCTCGTCTGCCTATGCCTGTCCCTTCCTCTGTCCCAGAACAAACTTTAGTGGGGCTGTGCAACTTGCAGGCTCAAAAAACAGGTGTTAATTAGTACTAAACAGCAAAACCCCAAACACACCACTTTTAACCAGGACCAGTTCCTCAGCTGACGCTACAGAACAGCCACATGACACTGGCACACAGAAGGAAACACTGCAGGAGTGAGAACAAGCAGTCAGGGACAAGGAGGCAGAACAGAACAGTCTCTCATGCCAGCATCGCTGCTTTCACCATAGTTACATATAGCATAAGGAGTACAATACATGTAGGAGATCTCCTCACCATGCCCCTCCTCACAACATTGACAGATGTGGCTTTATCTGCAAATCAGATGTGTAAGTATCTACTTATCAGCTCTCTTCTACGAAGTGTGAGTTACACTTGGCTAATGGTCTACCAGGTAACCACGCACTCACAGCACTCTGTCATTACAGTCACCCCATATCTACTTAGCTGTCTTCTAAGGAGTGTGTTACACTTGGGATAATGGTCTACCAAGTAACCACACACTCACAGCACTCTGTCATTACAGTCACCCCAAAACATCTGAAAAGAGCAGATGCCACAGCATGCAACAGGGTGCATTGCCTTGCAGTCCCTTTTATAGTTAATGGATGGGAAAACAACTCTTGGGAGTGGGTCAGCAGACAGCTAAAGCAGATCAAACGAAAGGTACCCTAAACGTACCTTTTCCGTCAACTCAACAGACCGTCCCAGGTGAGACAGCTCAAGTGGATGTGCACATGCTATCGATGACTTAAAGCAGGTGAAACGAATCTCATGTGCTGTGTTTTCAAACCTCTACTCTGCAGGTAGCATGAAAAAGACAATCCAACTCAACAATGTTTTATACGGACACTTCCTTGTAAAATTCCCTTACTAAGGATTTTAAAAACCTTGTCAAAGATAATAGGTCATGGCTAACCTACTGCCAGGCGAATTCCTTTTATTGCCTCACAATTCTCACTCCATTCAAGTGAACTATTACATATTTATTTCATGTTTATGTACCAAGTCCTAGTGATACATTTATCAGAGAAACTAATTTTGTAGCAGGGCTTAGAAAAAGCTTAATTGTTTTCTATTTGTTGACCCATAATGCAAAATGCCTTAAAGGCAACAATAAACAGTCATTGTTGCTTTGAGCTCCTGCAATAAAAAGTTTAATTAATATATGTATAATATATGTTTAATACTCCTATTGCAGAAATGGTGCAGACTGTGCTATCCTACCAAGGACCTCAACCCAGGGAGGCTGCGATGACAAAGTATCTGCTACATCAGGACCAAAATAATCAAAGCTGATTAAGAAAGTGATCACTAACACAGCACTGATTAAACATTTACCATAAATTGTACTACATCTTCAGGCTTGTGCTTTGCTGATTTGAAGGCAGCCAGTCGGGTAACAACGAAAATGTGATACTCCACATGGCCAGACATCATCTTCCCATGGATTTCCTGGTATTTCGGCACTGACAAATCCAGCCCCGTGTGTGTATTCTGAATTTGCCTAGGGAAGAAAATATGTTGAGAGTTCAGGCATTGGCACAACAATTTTTAACTGACCTCTCCAAGGATTCAGATCAAAGTTCAAGAAAGTCAGTGCAAAGAATCCCATTTCAACAGGACACCAGACAGACCCTACCCCAACACTGTTCCTACTCTGCAACAATACAAATGTGGACGTGGCCTGCTTCCTATATTCTATCCCAAAGCACCTGCCACCGGCCACTGCACACAAAATGTTGGGAACATAGCACTTCTGGGAAGAGAAGATGGGGATTCATTCCGAACATGGCTTCATTCACAGGAGCTGAAGGCACTGGCCTACCCCACAGGGCAGGTAAGAAGATCCCACGATGTCCCATCACAGCTTGTTTTGAAGCAAAGGTCTGTTCATGACAATTTACATGAAGCCCTATCCACCTCTCCTTTAAAAAAAATTCCTGGGAATGGCAGAGACAATAGCTGAAAGGGGCCACGAAAGGAAGAAGGAGCTTGCTGGAGTGCACGGAGAACTTCAGGTTTGTTAAGAGCCAAGCAGGGAACTAGATTAAAGCTGAAATACAAAGAGAAGTTGCTGGAGTAGACTGCTGGGCCAACCACTCAGTGTCCTTCTGTGAAGGTCCTTGAGGAAAATTAGACAAACACCTATCAGGACGGAGCAAGTTAAAGGAGTACATGATCTCTTGCAGCTGCCTTCTGGTTTTGACTGTCTGACTGACAGTCTTCTTGCAACATAGCAGAGAGGGCACACTAGTTAAGTATCTTGGCTTTCCCATAGAAATCCCACCAGAAACAAAACCACCTGTCCTTTCATAACCAGTTAAAGCAGACAAAGAAAAACAGTGCACACCTCTGAGAGCTGACAACAGTCAGAAGCACCCATGGCTTCTCTTGGAGGAAAATGCAACACGGGAGCATTTTCCTCTCCTGCCAGCTTCAGATCCACTGAACCATGGTGTGACCTTCCCCTTGGATTCCCACCCAAGGAATTATTTACGACATTTTTGCGAGAGGAATGCCAGGATTGTATTATAGTGCTCACGTAGCAAGAGTAAGACCAAGCAGCTGCTGTTGGGGCACAAGAGAATGCTACGTTTAATGAAATAAACAGTCTGTTTCAATAGACTGGAAACCAAAAGTGATCAGTGATCCTTTCCCCAAAGTTACCCCTATGCCAAGCCACAGCACACTCACTACCGCTGTTGCTGGAACCAAGTCCTCTGTCAAATTCAGAAACAAGTTTATCATCCAGAGCACTGAATACTCTGTGAACACATCTCCGAGTGCATCCTTCCTATGTGTGAGTGAATGTTTTTTAATTAAATCAGAAGGGATTCTTAAAAAAAAAAATTCATTAAGCAGTTTTTCTGCTTCTTTTTTTTAACCTGAGTCATATGGGGAATGTCAAGTCCCATCTTCCCTGGACCTCCTGTGGATTGCAGAGATGTCTTGTGGAATTCTTGCCTCTTTCTTTAGGGAGTTAGATTCATTAACACAGGTGCCCTTCACCAAGGATACACGAGGTGTACAAACTTAAAATACACATTAAAAAGGTCTAAACAATCTATTTCAAAGGACTCCTCTCATCATGTCAAAACTTGACCAGTTCTTTTGAAACTTTAGTCTTCCCAAGAAGGCAATCTCCAAATCTCCAATGCAAAACTGAATAAAAAGCTTTTAAAAGAGAGTATCTTCAGAGTTTTCTATAAATCAGACAGCAACAAACAAAGGCCCAGGCCCAATCTTTGCAAGCCACGTTTAAAACAGGGCTTTAACAACAGCTCTACCATGGCCAAGATTTTATACTAGGTACCTAAACACCACTTGTTTGCTCCACTTCTGTTCTCATTTTCTGCCAGTCAAGGCCTAGACTTTACACTATCAGACAAGATTTTGTTCTCAGTTACACCTTGTTGGGCTCTAAACACAGAATCAATAGTGCTTATGTGCAAATACGCAGGTGCCTGGCTTTCACACAGCAGTCTGTTGAACCCGTAAATAACAGTCATTATCTGGAGTGTTGTCTCCTTCACTGGCAGCCAAAATGCTGACTCAAAGGACACCTGCCAGTAAAATCAGCTGGATCTGGGATTTTTTAGAAGATACCGACAGCAGAGGAAATGCTCTCCAGATGCGTAGTCACTCAGAAGTTGTGACTGCAGCTATGACAGCAAAAAGGGCTGTTGGAGGGTACTGAGGAGTGACTGACTTCTGTTAACACAGCCACAGAGTATAAATGGTAAATTAACCCGCTTTTCACCTCTGATGTAAATAAAAGGAAAAAAACACCAGTAAACCATCCCTCCTGAAGGCCTTACTCCGCTTAAAACACCAACCGCGTACAGATGTTCTGAGATGACACAACAACAACTTCACTGCAAGAGCTGCTGCATCCAAGAGTTCTAAAAATGTTAGGAAGGTACTAAGTACGTTAACTACACCTGCGGTTTTCCTTTTAAAGTTGTTAAAAGTCTCAACTAAAATGACTATAATGGGAAGTGATTAAAGGGAGGGGAATAACTACATTTTTGTTTGTTTTGCTTTCGGCCTTGTGATCACTTTCATTATTGCCTCTCACACCAAACCTACCCCTATGATCTCTTTCATAGCAACATGACTGTGTGTTTTTTTAAAATATAAAAATGATTCTAAATGAACAGGGAGGCTGAGACAGATACAGCGTAATATCCAAAGCTCACACTAGTTCCTGTAATGCCTTTGCTTCAGAATAAGCAGCCCCCGTGTTTTAATTCATCTGATATTGTTACTGTTGTTATTCAAGTGGAAGCAGCACCTACAAATCCCAAGACAGAATACCATTTCATTTCATTTTTCACATCAAACACAATTATTTTTACACTAGTAGCTTTAAAAAAAGAAGCAAAAGGAGAAAGCTGGGTGTTTAACTTGGGCACGCAGGTTTATCGCTCCTACTTTTTATTTAAATCTAGCTTGTGTATCTCTAAGTTACACTTCTGTCTACAATACAGACGGTTCAGGGGAGACTTGGGCACACAGTTAACTTCCCTAACATGAATCATTTCACCCGAATACAACGAGACCATTCACACCAGTAACACTGTGCTTGCGCAATCAGATCATGCAGGATCATCACGGGACAGAAGAAGGGGAGATCACGTAAAGGTCAGTTGAACAGAGCAGTTTCCACAGTTCACAGAAGAGCCGCATTTTTTCATTCCTGTCTTTTGATTTGCTATAAAATAGAGGCTTTGTACTTTAATTAATCTGCTTTCTGTGCTGAAAGGCCAGGATGGGAGAGGGGGGAAAGCAGCCATCACAAGCAAGAAAGCGAAGTACGGGATGTAAGCGCTGTGACCAGAGAAACTTTATTCCAGTGTCTGCGTGGTCACGAGAGCGGACTCTGCACTTTCTGCCTGGATAAAGTCAGCCCTACCAGCAGCACCCAGCTCCGACCACCTCTGCCCAAAGGTGAACCAGGTCATAGCAAAAGGAGAAAAAACAGATACAACTACTTTGTTCATTAAGTGAAGGCAAAATATCAGACACGAGTTAGCCAGCAAATGTTTTTATTTCTCTGTATAGTCTAACTACAAGTATGCAGATTCTTCTTTATTTGTATTACCACAGCAACTAGGAAACCTATTCCCAAAACCAGTATGTATAAAGAGTGAAAAAGGTCACAACTATACAGCTATCTTATCTCACAAGCTAGAAAATATATTCACTTGCCAAAGCCTTAATCCTATACGTACATATATATCCAATTCTATCACTGAAAGCATTCCAGTATCAGTGGGACAATTTGCAAGTGCTAAAGTCTATTGACTGTAAAATAAACCCAGGTGTTCAGATTTCCATTTCCATGGCTAAACCTAATATATAGGCAGTGCTACAAAACACGTGAGTTAACTCAGTGGATTTGAGTTCAAGGCCACCGCTCCAAAGGAAGTCAGGCCCTGATACAGCCAAATATTTAAGGATTAAAATAATGGCTTTGAAGTTAATGTGATTGAAATAGTTGCTACTTCTGTCCTAAGAGGTAGGTGCAAGGCTCAGGACCTTGCTGAATCAACACTTCTGCTTCTCCTGTCACATCTGATAAGGAACTGCTTTCATGTGGTCTCAAACAGCCCGTGGGGATAAAAAAAAATAAGTATCTCTACCATTTCTCTATATAGCATTTTCTTCTTGAAGCATTTCTCTTGAGAGTTCATTTGCCACGTCTAGAAAAATAGAGGTTTTAAAAATTTAATGCAACTGAAAACAGCCACTCTGCACCCACCTAGGGCATGGTTTCAAGAAGGTGGAAAACCAGAACAAGCTTATTTTGTCCATCGCTGGCCTAACACCAAGCCAGGCGGGCTGGCGGGCAGGAGGGACGGGGAACGGCGGTGGGGAAGGGGCTCAGCCAAAAGCACTGACGACACCACGCGTCGAAGACGCCGGCATGCGCTTCGGGACAAATTTAAGTTCCTACTGACCCACCTCGAAACAGTGAGATGGAAAAGATGTTTCCTGAGGGCGGGAGCACACATTGCGTCCCCAGCAGCGCCAATGAGGAAGGGAAACGACCCTGCGTTACCACAGGAGGAAAGGACCCAATGGCGGGTATTACACAACGTGTTACACCGCCGGGGATCTCTCCAGGTTGCGAAACGCCAAAAAAACTCGAGGAACCGCAAACACCTGAAGTGTCCCGGGGGCAAACCCACGCACCAGCAACCCGCCGCCCACCTCGGCCCCTCC